TGACAGGGTGCACATTAATGTTGTATACAATTCCCACAGCAAATATTCTCTAAATGACTGCAATGTAGATAAACAAAAGTTTTAAAGGTGTCTCTTTTAATTCAACAATCCAATGCATTATTAAAGACATCAATTACAGGTTTAAAAGCTTATCCGTATATGTTATTGTCTCAGAAGTTTCATTAAGTTAACTTTAAATAAGGAAAGACAATTAGTAAGGATCAAATAATTAGCTAGAAATTAACAAAACCTCTAACAAACCTACAAATAATATTTAGAAATATTTATTTAAAATGTATTATGTTTTAGTGGGCATTTGATAACCTCAGAAACCAAATATGTCCATATCGTTTATGGTGAAACAACAGTGCCCCCTTTTGGTGAATGTGCAATCATACTGCAAAACAATCTACATTACATGATTTGATCTTAATACTGTACAGTGACTCTAGCTGAGATTAGCTGAGGGTAAACGACAGATTATATTCTTTTCTTTTGTTGCACTAAAGGGCAAGATCTTCTAAATCCTAATTCTAATGGCTCGGTCGTGCTGAAATGGCAACAGATGGCTCAAAAAAATGCCCATGGGTTTGGGCTTAGCAGACGAGAGGGCACTGGAGTGGACAGCTTCACCCACATATATGCTGACTGGCACATGGATTGTCTCTAGTCCTTCACTAGTCCCACTGATGTTAGAAAAGCATGGAATTACAGGCAGCAACAGAGATGACAAGGTGATAGCAGATTTACCCACCAGTATGCAGATGTCCATGGGCAGGTAGACCTTGCGTCTGCTGCTGTTGTATGGGGTCGCCCGCAGGCAGGTCAGGATGCCCTGGGCTTTGCCAATGTGGCTTGCAGCATGGTCTGCGTGGACGTTTTTCACACCTACATTAAAAAAAGATACACAAAGCATACAAACTGTATATATATATTAAACAAGGATGCATTCAATCAATCAAAAGTCAAGTAAAGACATTTATAACATCAAAAAAATATTTCTATTTTAAATAAATGACTTTCTTTTGAACTTTCTATTCATCAAAGAATCCTAAAAAGAATTTATCCCAGTTTCCAAAAAAATATTAAGCAGTACAACGGTTTTCAACATTGATAATAATATCGGTCGTGCTGAAATGGCAACAGATGGCTCAAAAAAATGCCCATGGGTTTGGGCTTAGCAGACGAGAGGGCACTGGAGTGGACAGCTTCACCCACATATATGCTGACTGGCACATGGATTGTCTCTAGTCCTTCACTAGTCCCACTGATGTTAGAAAAGCATGGAATTACAGGCAGCAACAGAGATGACAAGGTGATAGCAGATTTACCCACCAGTATGCAGATGTCCATGGGCAGGTAGACCTTGCGTCTGCTGCTGTTGTATGGGGTCGCCCGCAGGCAGGTCAGGATGCCCTGGGCTTTGCCAATGTGGACGTTTTTCACACCTACATTAAAAAAAGATACACAAAGCATACCACTTTATGAGACCAGCTTTAAACAGATTTGCGTAAAATAGTGAATTTCCAATACTGTCTTGCAAAAAAAAAAAAATATATTGTTCTCAAATTATATTTTAATGGGTCATTTCATGAAAAATTTAATATTCTACCTTTAAAACAATAAAATAGTTTCATAAGTAAAAATTCCCTTAGTCTAATATTAAGTTTCTGCAGCATATTACCAGTGAACTTTTTTGTGATTTTGATTTATTGAAGAACAGGGCAATGTAAACTGAAGACTGGAGTAATGATGCTGAAAATTCAGCATTGCTATCACAATGGCCAAAAATAAATAAATAAATAAACAATTATAAAATAAAACTAAATAAAATAAAATGCATTTTAAAATATATGAAAAATAAATAAAATACAGCTATTTAAGTTATAATAATAAGTCATTATATAACTGATTTTCTGTAGTTTTATTCAAATAAATGCAGCCTTGGTGAGCCTAAAAGACTTTCCAAAACATCAAATGTCTTACCTCTAATCTTTGAATGGTAGTGTGCTGCACATTGAACCTATACTAGCAAACCCACAGTGCAAACCAACAAATGATAAGCCTTTAAGCTACAACAATTTTATTAGCTCCTTTCAAAATTAAAGCAATGAATTCAGTTATCCTTCAGGTGACTGAAATTTTCCTGCATTTTTCCCTTATACAATGAAAGTAAATATTGACTGAGGCTGCCAGGCCCTAATATTCTACCTAACATCTCCAGTGTTCCACAGAGGAAAGTATTTCATACTGTCAAGTGCAACATGAGGATGTGTAAATGACAGAATTTAATTTTTTCCTTGAACTATTGCTTTAAGTCGGAGATCAAGAAAAGTCTGCTCACCAAGTGTCTCCAGCAGCAGGTAAAGAAGAGAGGATTGTGTGTTTTCGCCATAGGCCTCCAGCTCTTGAAGATTCCTGTATGCTTTGTCCTCCATATCTTTCTCCTTTTGAAAACATTATGTGTTAAATACAATTGCCAGAGGACAGTATAATGTGCATAATGTGTTGACTCACTGAATGACTATCAATGTCTAGAATTAGCCATGTATGTCTCACGGATAGCTGTTAGAGTTCAAATTAGTTATTTAAAGAGAACTTTCCATTATTTTCTTTACTCAAATTTTAGGACAAATCTGTTTACTTACTCTTTCAGATATAATTCTTAACATCCACCTCCTTGTTAATGTGTGCTTCCTCACTGCCTGAGAACACACAGCAGTTATAGTACATCAGTGGCCAATACATTGAATAATGCTGTGGTCCAAACTACATTGGACATTGGCTGTCATTGTATGGATACATTTTTCAAAAATGTGTTGTACAGAAAAAAGAAAGTCATACAGGTTTGAAATGTAGTAATGACATTCACTACTGTTCTCAAGTTTGCGGTTGATAGAATGTTTTGAAAATGTTTTGAAAGAAGTCTCTTATGCTCACCAATCATAAATACAGCTAAAACAGTAATATTGTGAAATATGACTACAATTTAAAATAACTGTTTTCTATTAACATATTTTAAAATGTAATTTATTCTTGTTATGACAAAGCTGAATTTTCAGCATTTTATTTATTTTTTACTCCAGTCTTCAGTGTCACATGGTCCTTCAGAAATCATTCTAATATGCTCATGAAACATTTCTTATTATTATCAATGTTGACAACAGTTGTGCTGCTTAATTTTTTATTTCTTGGAAACCATGATAGACTTAACATGAAATACAATTTGTAACAGAAATCTTTTGAAACATTATAAACGTCTTTACTGTCTATTTTGATCAATTCAATGTGTCCTTGCAGGAAAAAAGTATTTCTTTAAGAAGAAAAAAAACAACAACTTAATGACCCCAAACTTTTGAATGGTAGTGTAAATGATGACAGAATCTTTCTTTTATAGAAGGAAGACTCACCCTCCACAGCTCTGCACTGACGGGCTGGGCTGGATGGTCAGCTCTGTAAATATCCTCCACGGCACTCTTCCAGAACTGCAATCGCATTAAACCAATGGTTTTCTGAGAAACAGAGTCCTTAATCTAAAAAAAGAAGAAGCAAATATATGAGCATATATGAGTGTTTCTTTAACAGCAGGCACTTTTATGTCTCAAGAGTTGGTTTTTCACACTATGATACACAGTTATAGCTGTACAAAAGTTAATAACTGAATAAATGAGTTACATTAGCTGGAATACCTGCCTGTGCCAGTTCTACATTGAACGCCCTCAGTGCCAGTGCAGATCGACGAACAGCTTCAGGAAAAAGCAATGAACACAAAAATCCCTCATAGTCCCTTTTCCTATAGGTGACAGTACAAAGTTATTCACTCAGTGTGATCTGTGTCATTAACCTACATTTACAAAACTAAGCCTAAATAGAGACTGAGATTTCTGTAGGCATGACAATTATTACATAAAGACTACTTTATAAGGGTCAACGACAAATAAAGATTTCTAAAGTGATAAACAAAAAAAGATCTAGCCATAAATATATTTACCAAGTTCTTAATACTTCACTCATGTTGGTTTCAAACATTTTTTGAAAAATGTTTATACCATTTCCAACAAATTATTTCATGTCTAATAATGTGAAGTACTGTAACCATTAGATAAAAAGTACTAAAATGATTTCCTTGCACACTGAATTAATGTGTCAAACGTGTCATTTATATGACATGACTTGATCGATATTTTGATTAATAAAAAATGTCCCAGAATATTTCTTTTAAGTTTAATTTTTTTTTTTTTTGCATTTCAGATTGGTATTAAGATTTCTCTTTTTTTTCAGTTTCTACACAGATACATCAATCACCTAGACATTTCTAGCATTCATTTTAACAACTGACATCAACTTTAACCATGAAAGTTAACCACAGAAAATATAATGGTTGTATATGCTGCAATTTACTTTATTTATAAAAAAAAATAGTGTCACGGCATTTATTAATATTAAATTTGACATAGAGCAAGAGAAAAATACTCTAAGGTATTCTGGGATACATGTCTACCCGGTTTAAACGGACATTTATTTGCTTCTAGGTAAAACTACTAAAAGTCAATCGATTTTTAAACTAATATCTTACCTTACAATATCAATACAGTACTGCTCATTGTGCTGTCCTGTTGTTAATGCTCTTGAGCATTTGATCTCTGTTGGCCTCTGTATAAATGTGGGACAGGGAATCTTTACGTGGAGAAATTTTTTGGTGGTTAAAAGTCCAATTTTTATGTTTATACTGGATGCC